TATTCAGTAGAATAACGATAATTTTGCTGAAATACTTATTTAGCTCTATCCACAGCCTCGCAAATAAAGCCCATTGTTGGTTTTCATCACCATTCATAAGGCGCAACACTTTTACCAAAAGCTCAAAAACTTTTATTATATTGCCTGCTTTTTTTCAAAAATCTTTTCTCAAAATGATTTTTTTGGCTTCATAAGCAGGTCCTGATTTTTGTTGTCCCCATTTTGAATATTTAAATTCCTATATAATCATCAATAAATTTTTAGAGTAATATATTTTAAATTAATATTTTAAACAATGATATCATAAAAAGATGCTAAATTTAAATAGTTGTACTAATTATTAAGTACTAGCCTTTGAATTAAACATCTCTCTCAAATCTTGCTTTTGTCTCATTATTTTTTCTAACTGTATGAAATGAGTGGAAAATCAGGTAAGAGCAGGATAAAGTATTTGCTTCCCCTGTGTATTTTTTTTCATCAAATTAACAGTCCAAATGTGATTGTATATAAAACAAGTCATTTTCTTTGCATCATCCAAAACCTTTGCCACATTTTTTTCTTCCCAATATCTTCAAGGCACAAGTCCAAATAATGAGCTGAACATGCTCTCCAATACAAATGTTTTCTCTTCTCCATTAGCCTTTTTCCTGCGGCCTTAAGTGCTGCCTCGTTATCAGTAACTATTTAAACAATGTATTTTTTTTCAATTTCTTCCATAACTTCATATAATAATCTGTAGTAAAAGTTTGCATCTCTACTACAAATACTTGAGACATCTATAGATTTCTAAAAACATGGTCCCTTTACTATAGTAAATAAGGAAATTAATGATATGCATTTGATTTAAACTATTGGTCCAACCATTGCACATCAAAGTGACACCTAATTCATTCCAATGAGCTTTTAATCCATTAACCCATTCATGAACTTATTGATACTCAAACTCTAAATATACATCCGAGACCTCATAAGGTGTTGGAAGTTTTACATGTTAGCCAACTTTTACTGTCACAGAAATCAAATTAGGTAACCATGGAGAATTTGCTAACTGAAAAGAAAGTCGATCATATATAAAAAATTTTGATACTGATTCACTTATCTTTCTTCTTAATGTCTTTAAAAATGAATCACTTACTTTTGGTTGCCTTGAACTCTTAGTTTTAATCAATTCAGGTATAGCTCCTCTTAATGAAAATTCAGACTCATTTGGAGTTGATTTTCTTGTTCTTTCTTCAAAATATTCAACAACTAAGTCATGAGAGCTTCGTCCCTCTTTATATGTGTTACTCCAACCACTAGTTCTTTATCTGAATTTTTATCTTCTGTGTCACTCATGTTGTGATTAGATACTATCTCGTAGAGCTTGTTTAGTAGCGATGTCTTCATCAATAAATCCTTCTTAATCATCTTCCTCTCTTAACTGTGATAAAAATTTATTTTTTCTCCTTTTGTTGTCAACTTTTTTTGATTTGCTATCTTGAAAGAGTTTCATCATACTTTCTCTTATTATACCTATTAATAATATAGTTTAAAAAAAAGAAAAAATTAGTTACACATGCTTATGTAATTTTATAATTTTTATTAAGAAATTAACAATAATATTTTCAAAGGAATTATAAAAACATAACATGCCAGTAACATTGGGGTGTGGTGCAACATTGTTAGTTTTATGAGCAATGTGTTCTTTGAAACGTGTTATTCCTCCTTTTACAACTTTACCACAAAGTTTATATGAAACATTTCCTCTTGTATCTGGTACAGGTGTTTCAAAATGTCAACCTATATCATCACTTGGTGCGCCCTCTACTCCTTTACTTAGTAACTCTTCACGTGGTGGCATACTTGTTATTTTATATAAAAAGAAAATAAACTTATATTTAAAAATATTAATATTACTTATTACATCACTAAAAATTGATTTTACACTAAATTTTTTAATTTTTAGTTTTTAATCTTACGAATATTATTAAATAACTTAATCTTTTTTATACACTAATAGATATAAATTTTTTTATCACAAATAACTTTTAATAATTATATAATAAATACAATCTTCAATAATTACACAAAAATAACAAGAATTAATCTAATATCAAAAGAATTGACAACAATATAAATATCAAAACAACAAAAAATTTTATTAAATTTCATATATAAAATTATAAATTAATATATAACACAATCAAAATATAATATTTAATTTTAATTAAATTTTGTCTAACTTATACAAAAAAATTTATCAAAAATTTTCATCTAAAATCTCTATATATATCATATTAAATTATTAATCCCTTAATTATTTTTAATTATAAATCTTCAATCCCTCTAATTAGATTTTATCTAAACTACTTTCAAAAATTAAAAATTTTCAAACTTATATTTTAATAAAATTTTCAAGCCTATATTTTTTATTTTTTAGTTTTTAATCTTAGTAAAAGTAATAGATCATAAAATGCTAAATTTATTAAATAACTTAATCTTTTTGATACACTAATTGATATAAATTTTTTTATCACAAATAACTTTTAATAATTATATAATAAATACAATCTTCAAAAATTACACAAAAATAACAAGAATTAATCTAATATTAAAAGAATTGACAACAATATAAATATCAAAACAAAAATAAAATAAAATAAAATTCAGATACAAAATTATAAATTAATATATAACACAATCAAAATATAATATTTAATTTTAATTATTTTTCATCTAATTTATACAAAAAAATTTATCAAAATTTTTTATCTTAAATCTCTATATATATTATATTAAATTATTAATATCTTATTTTTTTTAATTATAAATTTTCAAAACCTTTAATTAAATTTTATCTAAAAAAATTTTAAAAATTAATTACAAAATTAAATAAAAAATTCAACCCTACCCCCCCAACACCCTACCACACCCAATCCCTTCCCACCCCCTAACACCCCACCACACCCAATCCCCCCCCACGTGTCTGCCTTAATGTCCTTCAATTTGTTTAATTGTAACTGAACCATCTAGAAACATAGAAACGTAGATTTCCAAAAAATTTTTTCTGTTCATCTTCTTCACGCGTCCAAAGTTTCACTTTCCAAAATTTTCTTCTTCTCTCTCTTTTTTTTTTCATCTCTTATTTTCTCTCGTATCTCTTCATCATTATCACTTACCTAATACCTACGAAATATCTCGTTTGTTTCTCTCAAACTCTTACAATAGAATAGACATCATTTTACAAAAATTTTACAAAAAAAAAGATAATTTAACTTTTTTTTCTTACCTTATTTGATCTTGAATATTGATTAAAAACATGAAGCTGATTTGAATTTGGGTATCGAAATGCCGATTGAATGGTTGAAACTTGAAATATTCGTCTATTTTTTAGCTCATTTTTAGATTAATTTTAATGCTACAGATCTGAGAGTTTGAGTTTTATTTTTTGCTTTTGCTTTTACTTTTACTTTTGTAGGTTTATTGCTTTATTCTACAAAGTTGAAAACTTGAAATTTTATTTTTTTGTCGAATTATTAAATCTGTGAGTAGGAGAACGGAATAGCTATAATAACGGTCCATTCTTGTCGCTATTCTCTGTTACGCCTTTATTTGCGATTGTTACACTCTGTTTTTATCGTGAATAAAATTTTCAACCGTGTTTTGTCCAATAACGATCACGGGTAGTGGCGCTATCGCTATTTTGCAGTCGTTATTTCTTTTTTAAACCGTTATTTGAATCCTTATTCCATCCTAAGATTTTTGCTAAAAAAAATGAGTAACTTCTTTAGATTCATGGCCTGAACTATCTTTATATCTTTGTGGCACGTGTTTTACCCTTCTACATTCGAGCTAGTTTGCTTTTCTGAAAAATAAACTATCATCTACAAAAGAGGTGAGTGATTCTAAGTCCATTTTTACTTGCACTGATTCCACTTATCAAGCTTTCTTTCTGAACTTCATAAAAAGAGCTAAAAAACCTTTAGTGCATAACGAAAACAAGTAAGGTGATAGTGAGTTTCTTTGCCATAACCCTCGTTTAGGAAGAAATCTGTCTGTTACATCACTATTGAGCACTATAAAATCAGAAACAAAGGTAACCCATTTCATTAAGAGGAACACCCCTTATTATGAAACCCTTATTTGAGTATCATAACCTCGAGGAAAGGCCATTTGACCCTGTCAAAAGTCTTGCTCAAATAGGCTTATTACCTGGCTCGTATTAACATATTAATATAAATTATAATATAATAATTTTTATATTTCTACTTAATATGAAACACAACATACGTATGCCTATTACCTAGGCTCTCCCCCTCCCATAATATTTTATACTTCATACGAAACACAACATAAATACGTTTATTACCCACGTAATTAAGGATGGCAACGAGTTGGGTCGGGACGAATTTTTGCTCACCCCGAACCCGACCCGAATTCATAATAAAAAAACCTGAACCTGACCCAAATTTTTTTATTTTTTATATCCAAATGCACCTGATCCGATATTGTATAAACCGTACTCGACTTGATTCGACTCGAAATTAATAAAATATTATTTTTTTAAATAAAAATATTATTTTTAAATATAAATATATAATTATGTAATTATATATAAATAAAAAATTAAAAATAATTAAAAGAATAATTTTTAATATAATATCGAATCGAGTCGAATTTACCTAAAATCTGAACCTGATATGATTTTCTCTTAATAATATCCGACCCGACCCGAAACCCGAATTAAAAAAAAATTGATCATATGTGATCGAATCGAATTGAAATCCATCGAGCTCGGGTTGAGTTGCCAACTCTTCCCGTAATATATAATGTGAAAAAAAAAAATACACCGATTACTATTTCTGGTTTCGTTCATGTTCTGTCCATTTTCCTAGACCGACCCAAGACCACAATACTTAGTTAGGGCGGGCTGGCTGGGTTTGAAGGGAGAAGCTTGAGTGGCCCAAGTAGGCCCATCGTTGTGAATGTCTTGAGAAGAAAGAAAACTCAATTAAAGGGAGAAAAATAAAATTGAAACTTGTAAGTTCCAAGAGAGGAGAAGAATTGAAGTGGGAAAAAGCAGGGAAGAAAAATGAGCAGCATCGGAACTGGTTACGATCTATCTGTTACCACTTTCTCTCCCGACGGCCGCGTTTTCCAGATCGAGTACGCCGCCAAAGCCGTCGATAACAGTGGGTCCGTTCTTCTTCTTCTTCTTCTTCTAGTTCTTTTATATCTTTATGTTGGCAAAATTTTTTTTTTTTCTTTTTTTTTTTGCAGAACTGTTATTGGAATAAAATGCAAAGATGGGATCGTTATGGTAAGCTTTTTTTCTTTTTATTTTTCTTTAATTGTTTATTTTGAAAAAAAATCAAACAATAAGTATAGACTAAAATGAATTTTTTTAATTATTATTTTAGGGAGTAGAGAAGCTAATAACATCAAAGATGATGTTACCTGGTTCCAATCGACGAATTCACTCCGTTCATCGTCATTCCGGCATGGTATTCCCTATGCCCCTTTTTTCAGCTTTTTCTTTATCCAGATTTGGAATTTCTTATTCTCTCTTTCTCTGATCTTGGATACTATAATTCAGGCAGTAGCTGGATTAGCGGCTGACGGTAGACAAATTGTCGCACGTGCTAAATCTGAAGCTACTAATTATGAAAGGTTTTTCCTTTTTTTTTTTTTCCTTTACTTACAATTCCCAAAATTCAGCTTTAATCGTTTTGGTACATGTCCATGTTATTATAAGTTTCATTTGTTGGTGGTGGTGTAGTGTGTATGGTGAAGCCATTCCTATAAAAGAACTTGCTCAACGTGTCGCTAGTTATGTCCATTTATGCACCCTCTACTGGTGGCTTAGGCCCTTTGGTTGTGGGGTAATTCTTGGAGGTTATGATAGAGATGGACCCCAATTATATATGGTTGAACCGTCTGGCATCTCCTATGTAAGTTGATTTTTCTCAATCAGGGCTTCATTTTTCTTTCTAAGTTGTTACTAGGTCTATTTGTATATTTATATTTTCCACTAGTCGATAATGTACTTCTTTTTGTTTGCCTTGTTGCTTGTTAAAATTGATATAGAGATACTTCGGTGCCGCAATCGGGAAGGGAAAACAAGCTGCCAAAACGTAAGTTATGAAACTATTTCTTTTTTTTTTTTCCTGTGAAAATTGCAGGAAGACATTTGATAAAATCTTTTGGTCCTAGCTAGTTAGATGAGATGATTTGAGCATTGTATGTTGTAGACATTAGTTTTTTTGCCTTATAAACTATTGAAAGCTAATTTAATGCTTTCATTGTCTTTACGTCCAATTGAAAAGCCTTTTAGTGGGCTTTCTCATTTTTCTCTCATTTCTGGAACCTAATCTGTAAGGTATTTCTGGCTTCCTATCACGTCATAAAAGATTTTCCTCAATTCAGTCCATGGAAGCTGCCTTATTTTCAAACTTGCATGAAAAGAAATGTAGAAAAAGAAAGGATGTAAAATTGAATTGTATTTATGCAAGAAACACAATGAATATGTGTCTCCTCCTTTTGTTGTTTGAGCACTTGTCAAGTTATCATTTGTCCATGAGTACTCAAAAGCCAAGTCAACTCAGCCTGGACGTTAAACTAGTTGTGTTGGCTACATAAATACATTGCATCATTATTTTCAGTTAATGGCTATGTCCTCTTAAGTATCTAAAGAGGCTGAAATCTTTGTTATGATCTCAAACCTTATAGTTATCTTCGTTTTGTCTCTTCCTCTCTATATTGATCTCATTAATAACTAATACTAATAAGGTTATTTTGAATGGTCTGTGTGGGCAGAGAAATTGAAAAGTTGAAGTTGTCTGAAATGACATGCAGGGAAGGGGTAATTGAGGTAGCCAAAATGTGAGTTATCTTAATTTCTTGCTGTTTCTGTTGTCATGTACTTGTTTGGAATCTGCTGCATTTATTCATGGTTCATTGAAATTATGTATATCTTTTTCGGTTTCCTTTTTTGATTATTGCTGTTATCATTCTTTTGAATGTTAATAATTTCGTTTTGTTCTTGCAATAAGTGGAAATCTAGACAACATGCTCTTTTTTTTCCCTTACTTTATTTATTTATTTTCTGAAATGTCTGCTTTAGCACACTAACAACCATCGTAATTGTGCACAATATTCAGTATATTTACCAGAATATAGGCTGAATAGTCAGCTGGGAAATAACCAACTGCCAAAACTTAAGAAAAAAATTGTATATGCATTCAAGCATATTGTAAAAAATTTTTTTTGATGCACAGTCTATTTCATCATGTATGTTATTGTTAACCAGTATCTACAAGGTACATGATGAAGCAAAGGACAAGGCCTTTGAACTGGAGATGAGTTGGGTCTGTGATGAGTCAAAGCAACAACATCAAAAGGTAATTTCCAACGCCCATTCAGATACTCGTATATATATCACTTTTTGCATTCTTGCTAGCTACAACAACTAACAGCAATTATTTGGTTGGCTATATGAATTTAATTATGCCATTGTACTATATTTAGGATTTATGTCGAGTAAAGATCAATTTGGTCAAGAATACTCTTGATGGTTTTCACCATGTTCATTTTGGTTTCTTTTGACAAGGGCGTATTCCCATTTAGTAACATCTTACATGAACATGCCTAAACATTTGTTCAAATGTCAAAACCATGTTGAATGTACCTCTATAATTTTTTTCTCCATTGGTGCTGCCTTCATCTTTTCTCGACTGCTTTCAGTCCTAATCATTTATTTCTATTCGAACATCATGTTTTGTCCCTTTCCACTTTTTTCTCCCTCTCATGGCAAGATAAGCTATTAACTTAAAATGTGAAGTAATTCTCTGTCCCCTTATACTATGCTTAAAGAAATAAAGTGTCAGTGCCATGATCTTATCTACTTTTATATCTCATGCATGATTTAATTTCCCCCATGCTTGTTCCATGTGATGGAATCTGAATTTTTGGTGGAACTGATATCTGTGGAATTTGTCAGCTATGGATAGTGAATTAGAATCCATATTTGAAACGACAATTGAGTTACCACTTTTTGTTTCTGTAGAATTCAATTTTTCACTTGGAAATAAAATGTTACAAGTCTTTGATAGTTTATTTTTTTTTTTTTTCCTTTTGTGTGCTTCCATTTGATTTTTTTTTCACTTTTCACGAGATTTCAGGTTCCTGATGACCTTTTAGAGGAAGCCAAAGTTGCAGCCAGGGCTGCATTGGAAGAAATGGATGCTGATTGATACTCACGGGCTACGGAATCATCTTGTTATCATATTTTGATCTTCACAAAGTTCCCGATGTTGTGGACCTGCTGGTATGTGTGGAGTCATTGCTAATTAAACAAGGTATTTTAAGATCATGTGTGATAAGATCAGCAGACATTTGGATGAGACCATGGATTCTGAAAATCATGAACTTTCTGTTGTCTTTTAACTGTATCTTTTTAGACAGCATTAAGACATCAACATAGACTTCGCCAGTTGCAATTACCTAAAGGTTGAAGCAATTTATCTGCAATTAATGATTTTATTAATATATTTTTCTTAGATTTATGCTTTACTAAATCAGCCATGGATTTATCCTTATCCAACACCTACTGTGGTTCAGAAATGACAGATCTTACATATTACTTTCACTGACCATAAGGGAAAAGATAATGATTGGAATTCAAGTTCCAAGCAATTTCAATGATTTCCAGAAGCTTGATGAACATACAAGCAACTCATACAGAACAAGAGTTTGCTAATAGCCACAGCGAGTATCTTCACCAAGAAGAACCGCTATTGCATCTGTCACAATCACAAATCTATTGCCATGACCAATTGACCAGGTTCGAGAAAATCATCGGCCTGGAATAGCCATCTGGTTCGGAGTTTCTTTCTTGCCCTCATGAATCACAAGGAATTGTAATAATTTAAAATATTAATTCATGCCACGGGAATTCGTGGAGTGCAAAATATTTCTCACCCAGATTGCCCTCAACAACTTGTGGTTCATCTGATATGCTTCCGCTAACAGGAGTGTACTCACTTAAAACTGACGCAGTAGAATGAGCTGAAGGAGAATTTGGCTCACAATCAGCTTCAAATTCTATCTCATAATTCTTGAGGGGAAAATTGGTGACATCATCAAGCATTCTTCTACTGACGTGAATCATCCTTTGAGCTTTTAAGTTCCTGTGACTCGTAAAGTACTGCTTCCGGGCGACCACTGTCCTGTGTTGTAAAACAATCTGACTTAGCCCGCTCCATTGGAGGGGACTGCATCATAGTGTCAACAGACTCAAGCAAAGGTAGTGGCTCCGCAGGATTGACCCATCTATCTTGATGATTATCTGAACATTGGTATTTAGAAGGGCATGGCTCAGGAGGAGAGAAATTGCTATTCAGAAGGGCATCGCGGCCAGGAGGAATACCATATGATGACTGAGTGGTCATTGGTACCGAGATCAGAATCATATGGAGAAGACAACTTTTAGGGCTCATCAAATCTTTTTTTGTAAGCATATTCTGTCAATTGGTTGGGCATTGACAGATAATTGCTGGCACTTTCCCGAAGACGCTTAGGAGGACGTGCTACTAGGAACATAAGTCCACAACCCAGGGGCAAACCAACAACTCGTTTAAGCATAGTTTTTGCAGGAATGTCACGAAGAACTGGTGAATAAGACAAAAATTGTTGGTTGAGTTCTAAATTCTCAAATTCCACACGTGGAATCTCAAAAGCATGTGAGTGCAAGAGATTGGAGCCAAGAGTCCCCATTTGGCATTGAAGAAACATTATTTCTCTCTTCTTGACTTTTATTCACTCGCAAGCACACATCAGGAGGGTAAATTGGCAAGCCAGCACGTTGCAGTCACTTAATTCTTGTATTCCATTAGGTTTTTTTTTTTTTAATCTCATTATCAGTACGTCCAGGAAACAAGAGAAAGGAGAGCGATTAAATGATTATAAAAGTGAATCAAAACAATAAGAAAAATAATATAGCACATGCAAAGGGATGATTTGTTTGAGGAAAAATTTACTACTAGAGAAAGACTAGTATTTCATGCTAAATTGTTGAGCATCCATGGCAATACACAGAATATGCATAAGAGAAGAGCTTGCTTATCATGTCATCCAAAAAAAATGCTTGAATAATGCATAGCTAAGCATCTATTCTATGGAAGGATTCTTCTGAAATATTTTGCGAAAATAAAATCTTAAATCTTCTGAAATATATGGCTAAGCCTGCAGCTCAACTCTACGACGCTCTTGCTCTGGAGTAAGCACAACCTTCTTCAAATCTGGTCATAGGTGGTTTGCCCAACGCAGGTCAGGCGACAGCTTTTAATTCCCACATCGGGAAAGTCCCGAGTGTTTTTGTACAGCATTCATTTCCCCTCCCCGTCCTTCTTTACATAGTCCACCAGAATCGCATCTTCTGCTGATCTCCAAGGCAATGCCCTTTCTTCGAATGACTGCTTTCTCTTGAGTGGCCTCTCCTACTAACTTCTTCAACTAATGTCTAATGATTAGTGTATGCACGTATATTTTAGTGATCTTTAGATTGGAAATTCTAAATTTATTAAAAATAATTAATTATTAAATTTAAAAGGAGTAAAAAATATTATCCAATCTAATAGTGAGGTTTTGTCTAAATGTGAAAGAAGTGACATTAGAATTTTTAAGCCCCCGAAGTTTTAAGTATCATTCTAAGTATCATTAAATGAGGGTTTATGTTAAATTTTGTCTAACTATATTCTTTAAATTCCCATTGATTAATACTTTTATTATTTATAATTTTTTTTTTCATAAAAGTGAATAGAAGAAAAAGTGTTGAAATAAAAAATAAATAGCAAAAAATCAATTAAACGGCATCTTAATTTTAAAAAATATATATACTATTTATGTTATCTATATGTGTTGAAAATTAATGGATTATAATTTTTATTTTTTATTTTTACAATATAATTTTATTTAAAAATATACATAAATTACAAAAGGAGTAATGAATAGTCAACTTTACACACCAAAGAAAAGAAGCTTGAACAAAAACTAGTATATTAGCTTTAAATGATGCTTATGATATCTATATTATGGGAAAGGATCAAGAAAAAAAAGTTTTAATATTTTTTTAATAATTAATTTCAATAGGATGAGATAAAGTTTTTTTTTTATTTGTTTCTCTCGTCCCTTGGATATATCGAAATCAATGGTTAAAAAAATGTAAAATTTTTTAATTTTACATTGGTGTAAGTTGATCCATCTCATATATTATATATACATTCATTATTTATATATTAAAACTATCCCCTAAGGTAGTATCTGGTATCGTTTGCAAGATCACTATAATAATGTAATTATTGGGGTGATCTTATTATAAATGTGATCTTAATACTCATGATTTAAAATCATTTTATTTAATTAACAATTATTGATTCTTAAAAATCGTTTTGTTTAATTAACGGTAATTAATTTTTAGGAATTAAAGATCACTATATTTGATAATACTAAAAATCAAATATTATTTTGTTTAAAAATATGAAAACAATCATGCATATTGTAATAGTTATACAAATTACTAATTTTAAAGTTGTTTAAAGATAATAATTTATAAAATATTAATAATATTTTTTTATTTTATAATAAAACACAATTAAATTACTAATTTAATAAATATATTTATTGATAAGTAAATTGATTTTATAATATAAAATATGTAAAAAATTTTGAATTAGAAAATAAAATCAACTTATTAAATTCATAATAAAAGAAAACAAAAAAAATTATATTATATAAACTATTAAAAAAAGTAAAAAAAAAAACATATTATTTTGAACTTGTTACAATGAATATTGATTTGAAAATATAAAAATTTATAATATAAAAATATTGCAATTTTAACATAAGTAAATTTTAAATTCACATATTAAATGAGTTAAATTAACTTTTGTTAATTTTACATATTATTTCATCTTTATGATAAAAGTTTCTTATCATTTTATTTGAGAATTAGATTACTCTCTAAAGCAGTGTGATCTAAGGTCATTGCAAAATAGGATTATCGAGTATTTATTAAACATAGTGATCTAATCACCATACTTAGATCACTATTGTTTTTAGAGTAATCATCCTGTATCAAACACTACTTAAGAGATAAATGCTACATGTAATGATTATTTTACCCTTTGAGGAGTCCAAATATTAGCATTACACCGGATATGCAGCAATTACATCCCATAATTAGCAGTAAGAAGAACCAATAAAGAGCAATCATTAACAATCAACACAATTCTAAATATCAACACAGTAAAGAAAAGCAATATGGCAAGACAAGAACTAAGCAAACAACAACAAACAATCTGTAGCAAACCAATACCCAGGCATAAGTAGGCAAGAAAAAATCAACAATTTACAAAATTAAAAAAAAAACCATAAGCAAAAAATACGACTAGACGGCAAAAGGGAAAAGGTTGTCATTAAGTATTTGATTTTGGGGTTAAATTGCTTTTAAACAGAAGCTAGGAAAAACCAAAGATAGAATAGAAAGGGTTTTCACTTTTTAGAATTTTGGAAAAGAGGGATTTACCGTCAGTGAGTAACTTTTGAAAGTCTAAAATGATGGAAATTGAGAACAGAGGAAGGGGAAAACATAGTAAGAAACCGGGGTATTCAAAGTGATAGAGATAGTTTTCCTAAGATTTGAACTTGTGAGCTTTTTTGGTAGATCTAGGCTTATTGAATCGTTTTTAAAGCAAATTAATCTAAGAAATAGAAAAAAAAATGAAGCTAAGAGTAGTTTGGGCATGATATTTAGGACCAAACCAGCATTGATGAGAGGTGATCGATGACAATCATGGAAGTGGCAGCGGCGACAAAGTGTCAGTTTTTGGGTTCATGGGATTTCTGGCTATTAAAGTTTGAACGAGGAGAGAGAATAAACTTAGAGAGAAGAAGATAAAAGAAAAATAAAAAGAATATGTGATTACTTGTAGGGGAGATCATTAAATTGACTAAATCGATTTAAAATCGATCATTTAATTAAATCAATTTGATTTTTTCAGTTTAATCAATTTAGTTGGTTTAGAAAGCGGTTTAGGCGGTTTAATCGGTTGATTTGCAATTATGAATTTTATAGACTAAAAAAAATTGACTTTTAATAATTAGATATTTAACAAAAATGCCTATTTACCCTTATCTAATATGAAACCTTAAAATCTAAAATCCCTATTCAACTATTCCCATTTCCTTTTCTTTTGTTTCTTTCTTTTACACCTCTCATGATTGCTTAAACTTCTTTTCTCTTTCATTTTCTCCCCCCTCTCCTTGAGAGTCCAGCTCCAATGCACCTAAGCCTTTGTACTTATAATTTCTAGCGTTTGTACTTTCTTCTTCGCTAATCTACACTTAACTCTCTTAATATTTCAATACTGCCAAAACTGTTAAGATTT